AAATGAAATAACAAAAAATACCAATTTACACTTTCCTGGGAAGACTGTTCTGCGTAGGAGGGCGGGATGGGTGAGGAACGTGAGGAAATTGGTGGCACCTCAACCTTTGCCATGCAAGCATTTAGCCTTAACAGACTGTTAAGGCAAGTAGCACCTATAAAGGTTGGCACGGCACACAAAGGGGTAGGTTACCAGCATCATTCCCGGCCGCCTTAGTCTCCCCAGTGGCGATGTTTACACAACACACCAGGTACTTATTTGAGGCTGAGTCGACCTGGGAAGGCCCAGGGCCAATTCCAATAATCGTCATGGTTTTGGGCGTTAGAGGAAATTGAACTCGGGTCGCTGGGTTCATAGTGCAGCACGCTAACTGAAGCACTACCACTCTCCACTCACGCACACACATCGTCATCATTGTAAGTAGAGTAGTCAGTATTTAGAATCCTATTTATTCTCTTGGAATGTTTTTTCTATAGAGTTTCTACTTGTTTATTTAAATTGTTTTGTTTTTAGTTTAGTTGGCATGCTGTACAGTACTTATTTCAATTGTGATGCGTCTTTTTGGTTGCCGTTTCCCTAACCCCATTGTTTCGGTGAGGCTTAAGTATTGAATATGGCCGTTTTGGCTTTCTTGGCACGATTATTGATGTTATTAAGGCCTAAGTACCATTAAGAGGCTTCGGCTTTTGGTTGTTCCTTGTTTTTGATATCCCTGCCGCTCTGCTCACATTCGTTAAGGATTTTTAGGATTTTGGGCAGGCCCGGAAAATGCTGCGTGACAAGGATTTGGAGCCGTTTCATGTTCAAGTTGGCGTGTGACAGGAATTCCCTCTGGCCACATACATTATGGTAAGTCCCCGGGTAGCGGAAGACCCGACTTACGGAAATCCAACCTTATGGACATGCTCCCATAAATAATGTTTAAAAAACTCAACATGCGGAAATTTTTGCTTTAGTTTCTTAAGCGCAAGTAGTCCAGCGTGGTGAGGTTGTGGATGAATACTGCTGAGCAAGGCATAAGGCAGGCAGCATCTTCCCCAAGGCAGTGGTGTATAGCTGCTCTGCACTCTCAGTCATACTGTTACATTGTTACCGTGCGTTTCATGTACCCGCTTAATCGTCTCATAATTTTCAGTGTAATAAAGGGCGGGGAGCCAGAGAGCTCGGGGCAGTGTGTTGGGGCCAAGACTGAAGAGCCAGTGAAGAAGGAAGGCCGGCTAGGATAGACCCTGGGACTCCTGTGACCGCTGTCCGTTTCCCTAACCCCATTGTTTCGGTAAGGCTTAAGTATTGAATATGGCCGTTTTGGCTTTCTTGGCACGATTATTGATGTTATCAAGGCCTAAGTACCATTAAGAGGCTTCGGCTTTTGGTTGTTCCTTGTTTTCGATATCCCTGCCGCTCTGCTCACATTCGTTAAGGATTTTTATGATTTTGGGCAGGCCTGGAAAATGCTGCGTGACAAGGATTTGGAGCCGTTTCATGTTCAAGTTGGCGTGTGACAGGAATTTCCTTTGGCCACATACATTACGGTAAGTCCCCGGGTAGCGGAAGACCCGACTTACGGAAATCCAACCTTACGGAAATGCTCCCATAAATCATTACAAAAAATCAACATGCGGAAATTTTTGCTTTTAGTTTCTTAAGCGCAAGTAGTCCAGCGCGGTGAGGTTGTAGATGAATAACGCTGAGCGAGGCATAAGGCAGGCAGCATCTTCCCCAAGGCGGTGGTGTATAGCTGCTCTGCACTCTCAGTCATACTGTTACATTGTTACCGTGTGTTTCATGTACCCGCCTAATCGTCTCATAATTTTCAGTGTAATATCACCCTTAATTGCATTGCAATAATAACTGGAAACGATTAAGGTCAATGTAATTGTTTTGTAGCATTGCCTAATTATTTTTCATTTGTAACATTATGTAATTTTGATTTTCTGTGCTTAGAACTATCTTGTTTTTCTCATGTTTCTCTTTATAGTTTTGATTTGAAGTTCATTTCATAAGTTACGTACGTTATGTACTTTATTTAACACAATTACACTTCAATTGCTTATGGTCTCAGCCAACAGCGATCGGAGAGATCTCGGCCTAGTCTATGCCCGGTAAATGAATATTCGGAAGTGACTGTTTTCTTTTAACAATTATTATTAGAATGGTGTTCATAAATATTTGGATAAGTTTTTCTTTCCGTTAGTTTAATTATGGGTAGTGTTAGGGTAGATATTCGATGAAATGAAAGAATCATAGGAAGTGCAGAACGTATGTACAACAATACGACACAGGTCGCGATAGAAAACGGACTATAGCGCGATACAGTACTGAGAGAAAATGAACGAGTAATTGGGTACGGGCGGCACAACTATTTCTGGCTATGGGATTTCGTCTTGATTTTGGGGGGAAATTGTTCAGTTTCCGACATGGGAAATTCGGGTTACGGATCGTTCCCGGGAACCTAACCCTTCCATGACCCATGGACTGTCTGTACTTTAAGATAGCATCTTCAATATTTACATAGTTTTGATAACCTCACAATGGCCCTACAAAAATGCATTTGGTATAGTTACAATGAGAGGCTAATCGATGGCTGATTATAGTTAAGGGATCGTTTCCTGCAGGTCAACCATGTTATGTATGCTGATGATCTGGTAATGGCTACTCAATGTGATGGAGTTAGGGACTCTTGTTCTGTACCTGGAGAATTTCATCATGAGGAGGAGCCTTACATATGTTCCAAAAAAAGCACCTGCCTTGGTATTTCATGTCATCCAACATTCCGCCTGCTCGCCTCTTCATGAGTAATCAGGCAGTTCTACAGGTGGTGGAGGAGCTCCTATACTTGGTTCATGTGTTCACGACCAGCTCTGGTTTGGCAGCTAAAGTCTCAATTCAAATTAGACGAGCAGCATTCTTTAATTAGACTGTCTAACATTGTGATGCAGCTGCCTGGATCGTTGCTCCATACAAATCACTGAATCTTCTTGCCCACAGCTATGACCCCTTTCTCTGTGTATGTGAAATATGGACTCCTTTAAAGAACCATCTGTGCTGGCTTATACAATTAAGGCTGGCCTGCCTAAGATTCATCCTCTAGTACAAATCCCTGAGATATCCATACATAATATAATAATCCATGAGCCTATTTGGCAGGCGAGGCTGCATTCGTTGGTCATGAATCCCGCATGCTCAGAAACTGCATGCTCAAGCAGCGTAAGTTAGTTCAGATATGAGGGACTAGCAGTTATGGCATGGGCTAGAGAAGAGAGTGGAAGATGTGGAGGTGATCGGACTTGCCGATGACTGGTACCAGGGGTGTGAAGATCGGCCTCTGTGGTGGAGGCCCGTGAAGGATACTGCAGGGTAGTTGGAGGCAATCGTCCTGCAACAACGAGGCCAGAGGAGTGACACATCAATGGGTGGAGCGCTGGGTGGCTAAAATGCAGCAAGTTAGCACAGTGGGTAGCACAGGTGATGCATCGTTCGGTCATCTCAGTTATCCCTTGACACCTGGATCATTCCCATGACCTACTGGCAAGTGCTCCACACTTACATGGCCTCAAATCGCACCAATCATGGCATGGACACTGTGATGATGTTACTGCCAATTAGTGGTGAATGGTGGCTGTTTTCTTGATATAATCTGTTTATGATCCATGTGAAACATATCTGTACGTACAAGTGTATCTATATGGGGAGCGGAGGCACATTTGTTCGTCCACTGCATTATGGAGCCAACATTCAGAGTTGTATTATTGCTGACAGCAGACATGATTGACAAGTGATAGCTTAACTTATTGTAGCCTCTGCTGGGTTGATTGTTCTTAGGTTAAGTACTTGGTGAAGAGTATAAGCATCTAGCCAGGCATGGTTCTAGCCACAACACCACCTTCTTCATCGTTCCAGTGCGTGAGAGTAATGTTTTTGTTTTTGCTGTAAAATATATTGACCATGTTAAAAACCTAGGTTTGATCAAAGCAATAGGGTTTTATTTGTATTACACGTGTAAAGAAGCTCCTTGCAGACATCGATTTTCAGGGGAGTAGAGCTTCTCGGGAATGTATATACAGTCCAAGTGTAACGACTGCCACACTTGTAATTGCTATGGCTATCTTCAGGCCCCGATGGTTTCCACCAAGTTGATACCTGAACAGTCAACCCCGATGGTTTCCACAGTCGGCCCCAACATTCTCCACCTCTGGTTGTCAATTAGTCCCCGAGTAAGCTCCCCGACCGCGGGCCTCGCTCCCCCTTATATACTCGCTCGTCCCCACCCCTTTCGGACACGGCCCCCCCCCCCCCCCCACTTTACTATAACATGTGTGTCCTTAATTGAATAATTCTTACAGTGCCTTCCGGTCACCTGTTTACAATCATCACAACGCACGCCTTCTAGAACCCCCCTACACATGGAACGTTTCATAAGCATGGAAAAGACAGCACATGAAGCTGAAATTACATCTGTCCCACCGAGCATTCAAGCAAATCTGACCCTGGCTTCGGACTTACAAGTTGCAATTGAATATTAATTTGTCCATTTTATCTTATATCTGCCCAATGCAAATATTTTTTTTTATTTTTAACACCATTTGCAATTTTAATCAGTCTTTTGCAATAACTAACATTTCTTTAATTGCCAGATACAACTGAAATTCTGTATGTAGAGTTATGGGTTATCATTGATATTAAATATACTAGGGCCTCCAGACATACTGACCACTTGTCTGCTATGCCAGTCCAAGAGCTGATCGTCAATAGTAGCAAGTGTCTTAAAACAGCCTGTGTGTTGCATTGGGGGCGAATTTTTTTTTTTATTTCTCATGAATGTTTGTTCTTGTCTATGTAATATGTGAATATCATGTGTAACTGTATATATATTTCTATGCTGACTTGCATTGTGTGGATATTACTGTTTTCTGTTTGCAGCTGCCAGTTCCTCTGCCACTTTGCTGTACATAATTGGTCAGATGGAGCGAAGACAATCAGCTAGAGAAAAAACATTCAAGTGCACTGTGTGTGGGAAGGCATTTGCACATTCATCAATTGTTCAGGCCCACCAGAGAACACACACGGGAGAGAAACCCTTCAAGTGCACTGTGTGTGGGAAGGCATTTGCAATGTCATCACATCTTAAAAGACACCAGAGAATACACACAGGAGAAAGACCCTTCAAGTGCACTGTATGTGGGAAGGCATTTGCATATTCATCAATTCTTCAGGTCCACCAGAGAATACACACAGGAGAAACACCCATCAAGTGCACTGTGTGTGGGAAGGCATTTGCACATTCATCACATCTTAAAACACATCAGAGAATACACACAGGAGAAACACCCTTCAAGTGCACTGTGTGTGGGAAGGCCTTTGCATATTCATCAATTCTTCAGGTCCACCAGAGAACACACACAGGAGAGAAACCATTCAAGTGCACTGTGTGTGGGAAGGCGTTTGCATATTCATCACATCTTAAAACACATCAGAGAATACACACAGGAGAAACACCCTTCAAGTGCACTGTGTGTGGGAAGGCGTTTGCATATTCATCAATTCTTCAGGGCCACCAGAGAACACACACGGGAGAGAAACCCTTCAAGTGCACTGTGTGTGGGAAGGCATTGGCAGACTCATCACATCTTAAAATACACCAGAGAATACACACAGGCGATACACCATTCAAGTGCACTGTGTGTGGGAAGGCGTTTGCATTTTCATCAATTCTTCAGGTCCACCAGAGAACACACACGGGAGAGAAACCCTTCAAGTGCACTGTGTGTGGGAAGGCGTTTGCATATTCATCACATCTTAAAACACATCAGAGAATACACACAGGAGAAACACCCTTCAAGTGCACTGTGTGTGGGAAGCCATTTGCATATTTATCAATTCTTCAGGTCCACCAGAGAACACACACGGGAGAGAAACCCTTCAAGTGCACTGTGTGTGGGAAGGCGTTTGCAGTGTCATCACATCTTAAAACACATCAGAGAATACACACAGGAGAAACACCCTTCAAATGCACTTTGTGTGGGAACGCGTTTGCATATTCATCACATCTTAAAGCACATCAGAGAATACACACAGGAGAAACACCCTTCAAATGCACTGTGTGTGGGAAGGCGTGTGCATATTCATCAATTCTTCAGGTCCACCAGAGAACACACACGGGAGAGAAACCCTTCAAGTGCACTGTGTGTGGAAAGGCGTTTGCACATTCATCATATCTTAAAAAACACCAGCGAACACATACAGGAGAAAAACCCTTCAAGTGCACTGTGTATGGGAAGTGTTTTCAACAGTTAGGGGATCGAAACAAGCATCAAAGCATTAATCAGGAAATTAATCTGAAATCGGCTTGTGAAAGTCAAAGTGCTGCAATAAGTCCATCCCTCATGAAACAAGAACCAGAAAAACATTTGAGATATGAAGCGTCGCCAGGAGTGAAGGCGAAATGTCAAGAAGTGAAAATGAAATTTGAATCCGTGAAGGTGAAGAGCGAAGAGGTGATGGTAAAGAATGAAGAAGTGATAGTGAAATGTGAGAATGAAGATTCAACTCCAAAATCCGACCTTCACATCGATGGAGGCAGCGTGAAGCTGGAGGAGACTGTGGACTCTGAGGCAGAGCGACGCAACTCCCAGCAATTTGTGGATGTGGAGGTGTGGGTGGATTTTTTATGCAATACTGAGTCAAATGGAGACCAAGTAGATGTGTATCATTGAGCTTAGGATAAAGAAGTTCCATTTAATTAACATTCCTTTCCCATAATAGAGGATTTTTGGGTTACATTGTGCAAATATATAAATTTGTCGTTAAAACCCGCCACCACCCGACCATGCCGACTAGTAAGGGTTGTCACGTAAACAGAACATGTCAATTTGTCACTAGTACAGCACACCGGTGTGTTGGAGAGCCAAGCCACAACATTTACAATCTGATTACGACGCTTCAGTACAACTAGCTTCATCAGGCGACAGCCAGATTTGTGCCTTTCCCATTACAAGGGTTTAACCTCCACGTAGTCAATAGAGGCAGTGTGAAGCAGGAGGAGGCTGCGGACTGAGAGGGTGAAATGAAACCCAGCAGTTTGTGGAGGTGGACTTGGAGGATGCAGAGTAGGAGCGGCCAGCATGTGTGGACTCGGAGGTTGGGTAGATCTGTAAGCAGGAGTAGGAGACAAAAAAGCTCCACAGCATTCAACGTGTTATAATATTATTTACATTAATAATTGACGCTTGCATAAATGTTTTATTTCTTTCTCACTATGTAGGCAATCTTGCTAATCAAAGGTTAAATGCTTCCGCAATTAACAGGTCCCTGCAGGGTGGGCTGGTAGGAACATTGGAATTTTTCACTTCGTTAAAGTATTGAAAGGGGACGGACGGACGGACACATTAATCTATTGCAGGCTGGTACACTCAGTTTACAACTTCGTTCCTACCAGTATAAGCGGCTTGTATCATATTTCATCTCAATCGTTCGACGGCTAGCCCAAGTGGCAGCTGTCCCTTTGTGGTACAAGGTTACTCAGCACCGACCTGCACGTGGACATGAGTCTGCCAGTAGGGTGGAGCGATGATGTGTAACCCCAGTCGGGTAATTTGTGGCTCAACTTTAGAATCTGGCAATTTTGACCCTGACACCATGAATGTTGAACATCCACTGTTAAGCAGATGGTGCGTATTTTTGGTCAATATGGCTGCAGTAATCATGAGGGCTGCCGGACAAATATCAACCGTGCTATCACTTGGCTTCTCGCATTCTAAGAATGCATGCAGGTGTAGGCATCCATTCAGAGATCAGTGTACAGTAAATGTGATGTAATGTGATGCAGTATATTTCAATGCAATAATTCAATGTTGGCGATGTGTCTCTTGATAATTTAGAGTTATAATTTTAACATCTGATTCTGAGCATTTACAGCAAAAAACTCTTATCCAGCACCCATGGGGAATCGAGGGTGCCAGTTCATCAAATGTGCCGGTTATCTGAGAGGTATACTTTATGGTTCAGAAAAATTCTCAAATGTAAAAATGTTTTAATGAAGAAATGTAACATACATTTTAACTGATATTCAAAATTATTTGCAATTTTACAGAGGTACTCACCAGTCATTTGCACAGCATTTTAAGTTTATTGTAAAGAAGCAGTGGTGCTGTTTAGATTACAGTGTACAGTAGTGCAGTACTGTTATACAAGTACAGTGAAACAATTAGGTTAGGCAGCCCACAACAGGATCACAATGGCCGATTGCAGATGATTGCAATTGCGACTCCATTAGCGCCACCGCTCGGCAACGTCACAAAGCACGCTGCAAGATGCCAGAATTTTTCTCTAAACGTGAATTAATATTTACATTGCCGTTTTAGAGATGCCGGTTAATAGAGCATTCCGGATGGTAAAGTACGTGATAGCAGAGAAGTTGCTGTAAGTACCATTTGGTATAAAAGGGTCAAAAATGGAATGTCCTAACTAGACGAATGTTTGTTTTGAAAGTAACCTGTGCGGAGCATTTACGTGACTGCTGTTGTTCATGTGATACTGGGTCAAATGTATTTTTCTAAGCTTTGGAATCATATCCCCCAACTCATTGTCTTCGAAATCACGAATATAGTATATACAAGGGAAAACACTGAAATGTTACATCAAGGAGATATTTTCTCAATAAAGAATTAAAGCTTTCGTGACTTCATAAATTACTCATTGTTTTTTTTCGGTAAAGTCACGTATGTAGAAATACCATAAAATTATATTAAATAAATCAATCACAACGTTTCGACCGCAACACAAGCGATCTTCATCAGGTGTAAAAAAACAAATAGCACATAGGGTGACATCAACGCAACACAGAGAGCGTTAAACTGCACGGAGGTAAATACAACAAGATGAGAGACGAGAATTCAACAAACCTAAGAAAAATGTACGTGATGCAAAACCAGTCGGCCAACGACACAGACACTTGCCTGGCAGACCACGAATTTCAGAAGAGTGCTAAATTTCGTGTTCATCCTCTGGGTTGAACGTACCAGCATAGACAGAGTGAACAAATACGAGGTGTAAGATAGCAGAAATACATATACAGGAACACAACAGGTAAGAAGAGGAAAGACGGACAGAGAATCAAGTAAAAAGGGGCCGGAGGGATGAACAGACAGAGGCTTAAAATAACTAGTAGAGGTGGGGGGAGGGGCCGAAGAAGCAGAAGAGGGGAGAGGGCAGGAAAATGTAAGGGGGCGCAATTAGTTTAGTACAGAATTGTAAAAGTAACTTCCCCGTAGAAGTGTGTTAATAAAGAATGAAAGCTTTCGTGACTGCATAAATTACTCATTGGTTTTTTCGGTAAAGTCACGTATGTAGAAATACCATAAAATTATATTAAAATAAATCAATCACGACGTTTCAACTGGAACACAAGCGATCTTCATCAGGTGTAAAAAACAAATAGCACATAGGGTGACATCAACGCAACACATGGAAAGCGTTAAACTGCACAGAGGTAAATACAATAAGAAGATGAGAGACGAGAATTCAACAAACCCTAAGAAAAATTTACGTGATGCAAAACCAGTCGGCCAACGACACAGTTAAGACACTTGCCTGGTAGACCACGAATTTCAGAAGAGTGCTAAATTTCGTGCCTCGACAGCCTCAAACGAGTAAAGTGGTGTGCTGTGTGAACATCGCTACTGGGGGGACATTGTTGGCCGGGCGTGGTGCTGACCACCCACCCCCTCGTGTCCCGTGCCGGCCTTCATAAGTGCGCGATAACAGCACTTGCCCTCCTAAAGTCTCATAAGTTGCACGGGGGATCTTTGTCTTTATTCTGTGTGTGTGTGGGGGCGGGCAGCGATTTGCGGGCTGCGCTCGAACCCGGCGGACCCGAGTTCGATTTCCCGCTCACGGCCAACACCAAGTGACAATTATTTGAACCGGTCCTGGGCCTCCCCGAGGTCGGCTCAGCCTCAAAACGAGTTACTGGTGTGGTGTGTGAACATCGCCACTGGGGAGACAAAGGCGGCCGGGCATGGTGAATCCAAGTCCCGGGCGAAACCGGGTAGTAAAGCTAGTATTCTCTTATGTGTAAAAGTCTCTGCGCGCGCGCTTGCGAGGAATTTGGCTTCCGATCCGTGGGGTTTACGAAGGAAAAAAATTGCCAGGCAGCACGCCATAAGCCCCGCGGTGCGCATAGGCTATTCCGTTTTCCCATCTGTAAACTTTTAAGTAGTTTGATTTACAATTTAGTGCTAATAGAACCAAAGAGTATGGATCCTAGCAGTCACGAAAGCTTTAAATCTAGAATTTAGTGCTATTTTGAATTACTTATTGACGTCCCCGCCCGGCCCCGCCCAAGCTGCACGGGGGTTGCCCCTAGCAACGCACACGCGTCATCGCTGGAGGGTGGGCGGGGATTTCTCCGCGTTCATAATGCAACAAAAAATACACGCAACCCTGCCGGTAAATTCACCCGAGTGTTATGCCCTCTTCTCTCACCCTCTCCCCCCCACTCCAATGTGTGCAATTACTACTTTAGGCTCGGTGCATACCAATATTAGATAGTATTATTGTAGTATTTTTGTAGCTCGGGCGGGGGGATGGTGGGGGGGTAGCGGCCAGCCTCCAGTCTGGCAATGTCACCTCCGGCTGTGCAATCTAGGCGAGACTGTGGGCTCTGCACGGGACTAAGCCTCACCACGGTAATGTAAAGTACAATTTTATTGAATACCTTAGCTAATAACTCAGGTTCATTGTTTACTATTATTAAACAAATTACTCGTCAAATATTACAATAATATTTGTGTGCAGATAAGAACTCAGGTTTATTGTTTACTATTATTCAACTAATAAGTTGGCAGATATTACAATAAAAATGTTTGTGTGCAGATAAGAACTCAGGTTCATTGTTTACTATTATTAAGCAAATAAGTTGCCAAATATTACAATACTCATGTTTGTGTGCAGATAAGAACTCGCCTTCATTGTTTACTGCCAGCCTTTCATGTCGACTGTATCCTGCTTTTTCAGCTGCTGCCCGTATTGCCAGCTTTTAATGTGGACTCTGGAAATGCTTATGTCATTGAGTCGGCGTATTGGTAGTCTATAATCTAGACTGTAGCCTGCTTCTCAACTTACATGTGCGTACTGCTGCTCTTTAATGTACACTTATTTCTGCTTATTCAATGCATTTCTATTGTTTTGATTGCTCACGTCCCGCTATTTGCTGATATTTAGTACTGCGATGCTGATTAATATGTTCTGCTAAATACGTTCGACTTAGCTACAGCCCATTGCATTTCGTCTATCGTTTTGTTACATTCGTGAGAACATCACCCATTTAAATTTTGCCGTAACGCACCTTTACTTTCTACCAAAGCGGAGAGCATGCAGGGAGGTTCATTGCCCCAAATATTGTTGACCTTGCTTTCTTACGGTGGGTGAGGAACATTGTGAGAGAGACATTGTTCTTCCATACCAAGAAAACACCATCGCACGATTTCCTGACACTAACAGAGCATACGATGCCCTACAATAACATATTTTCCTGTCGCAAGGCCAAGATGGGTACCACGTCACGATTCCTCCAATTTCAAAGCTGCAGGACAAAGACATCCTCACAAAACTTGTCTCTTAAAAACTTCTGCTCCTTCGTGATCATGGACACAGTAGGAAACCACAATATAGTGCGCCAACCTCTTTCACCACTATGTTGTCGATGAGTATGCCGACATTGAGAGTGAGCGCCTTCTTTACATTCAGCTGAATCAAAACCGCCTGCGTGTGAACAGTATGCTCATCTCTGGGACGCCATCAATGCGAAAGGAGATGCAAACGCTGACAATGTGGGAAGATTACTTATTTTGCCTTCATCCTTCACAGCTCCACCAAGATACATGCATGTGAAGACTCAGCATGCATGACGTACATCAGCCAATATGCCTCGCCCCATCTCTTCATAACCTTCACTCGCAATCCCAAATTAAAGGAGATCCAGGTTTACCTTTATCCAAACCAAAAGCCACCAGACAGACATGGCATCTTAGCGAGGGTCTTAAAACTCAAAGTTCATGACCTCATGATGCTTATTACGATCAACGAAGGCAGCATCTTTGGATAGACAAGCAGTAACTTGCACACCATTGGGTGGCAAAAACGTCATCTTCCTTATGCTCACATTTCGCTATGGATGAGGGAAACAATTCATGCAAGTCACATTGACACATTTATCAGTGCTGAGCTACCCCACCCCCATCAAGACCCTGCCCTTTTTCTATGTGGTCTGCAACCAAATGGTCCATGCCCCATGTGGCCAGTTCTATCCAAATGAGCCATGTACGCAAGACCACAGGTGTACCAAGAGGTATCAACGGAACTACTTGAAAGACACTCAGTCGGCCCATGATGGCTATCGTCTATATCAGGGGTCGGGAACCTATGGCTCGCGAGCCAGATGTGGCTCTTTTGATGATTGCATATGGCTCGCAGATAAAACAAAATATTCTCACTTGTTTTAATCCATCCATCGATTTTTCACTGCGCATGTCCTGTTCAGGGCTGCAGGAGCAATTGTCCATTATTTTAATTGGATGATACTGGCCTACGTTTGCCGTTGCTGGGTAAAACAGGTAAACGCCCCCTTTTGAATCAGTCTGAGACTGCGTCTGCTCGGTCATTAGCTCAAAGCTAACCCTTCGACGAAGAAGATGGCGAAAAGAAAAAAAGACGACGAGTATCGTACATTTCAGGACGAATGGACCGAAGAATTCGCCTTTGTGGAGAGAGCGGGTTCTGCGGTGTGTCTAATTTGCAATGACAAAATTACATCGTTGAAACGGTCGAATGTAAAGCGGCACTTCGACACGCGCCACGCTACCTTTGCATCAAAATACCCTGCGGGAGACAGCAGAAAGAAAGCGTGCCAAGAGCTTCTGAGCAGGGTGCAAGCTAGCCAGCAGCAACTCCGCGTATGGACCCGGCAAGGTGACTATAATTCGGCTAGCTTTGCTGGTTCTTTAGCAATAGTGAGGAACGGAAAACCATTCACAGATGGCGAGTATGCTAAAACGTTCATGCTGGATGTAGCCAATGAACTTTTTGATGATCTTCCGAACAAAGACAAGATAATCAAACGGATACAAGACATGCCTCTGTCGGCAAGAACTGTTCATGATCGTACCATCGTGATGGCAAACAAAGTGGAGGAAACGCAAGTGAAGGACATAAATGCAGCGCCGTTCTTTTCTCTGGCTTTGGATGAGTCAACAGACGTGAGCCATTTGTCGCAGTTCAGCGTGATTGCAAGATATGCTGTTGGTGACACACTGCGCGAAGAAAGTCTTGCTGTTCTGCCATTAAAAGGGTCCACAAGAGGTGAGGATTTATTCAAGTCTTTCATGGAGTTTGCTCAAGAAAAAAGTCTACCTATGGATAAACTTCTCTCAGTGTGTACTGATGGTGCTCCGTGTATGGTGGGGAAAAACAAAGGATTTGTGGCGCTTCTCCGTGAACATGAAAATAGACCCATCCTAAGTTTCCATTGCATTATACACCAGGAGGCACTTTGTGCTCAGATGTGTGACAGGCAGTTTGGCGAAGTGATGTCGCTGGTCATTCGTGTGATCAACTTTATTGTTGCCCGAGCCTTAAATGATCGCCAGTTTAAAACACTGCTGGATGAAGTTGTAAATAACTATCCTG